ATTCACAAGGAGAAGGGGATCACCAAGGAAGATCAAGAGCGATGAAGCAATGAAGAGACCTCGCTTCCTTCCTCTTTTAACCAGAAGCCAATTCATAAGCCCAGTAAAGAGAATTTGGCTTATGAAAAGGGTATCAGGTTGTCCAATTTATGCTAAGTAGTCTGGGAAGTTTTTTTTTAACAACTGGTTCTGTGGGCGTGGCATAGGTGGTGGGTGTGGCTTGGTGGTCATGTTATTGGCTTGGTGGACATGGCTTGGTGGTCATGTTATTGGCTGGGCGTGGCCAACTCAACATCACTCACATTGAGGCACGCATCTCCTCGCCTGGGCCTCTCATGACTGTGGGGATGCTGCAACAGTCGTAAGTGTGAAAAATGGTCATAAGTCGCTTTTTTCAGTGCCATTCTAACTTTGAATGGTCACTCCACACAAGCAAAGTACCAGCAAAGGAGGAGGAAAAAAGCTCCAGAGAAGTTCCTGAGACAGAAAGTCTCGTCCTGCCAAGAATGTAATAAGGGTTAACAGAGAGGCAGTTTCTGTAAGCAACGCCAGAATGTTTCCTTCCTGCCTTCCTTACAGGATTAGGCCAGTAATTTCTTCTAACAACCGATTCTCCCCACTGACTTTGCTTGTCAGAAGGCCGCAAAAGGGGATTGCATGAGCCCAGGATGCTGCAACCATCATAAATTTGAGTCAGTTGCCAAATGTCCAATTTTGATCCCTGGGATGCTGCAATGGTCATAAGTGTGAAACAGCAGTCATGTCACTTTTTTCAGTGCTGTTGTAACTTCATCTTTACTAAACGAATGGTTGTAAATCAAGAACCACCTGTAGTTTGCTGGGAAAATTGCATGTTAATCTTTGAAAGACACCGTCTGTTTTTCTTTCTTTCCTCCAGGAATCAGAGGTCATCTACAGCGTCTGTCAAATCTCCTCCAGTCTATCTTCACCTGGGCCAGTGATGGAGGGCAACTTCCCACCATAGGAAAAAGGGACGTTGTGGTACAGCGACCTTCTCTTTCCACAAACAGCAATGAAACATGCGGCATATTGATTGCATGAAAAGGCAACGATGCACGACTTTGACAGACAACGTTTCTTAGGTCTTCATTTTTGCAAAAGGTGTTTAGGACTTGGCCAGTTTTAAAGAAATGCAATTATTCAAAGTACAAATATACAGTTAATCCAGCCAACATGACTAAGATTAATTTGGTAGAGCATTCCTTGCTCTATCCTCCCATCCCATTAAAATGACCGTATAAAAGAGATTGGTGTAAGAGAAAATAAGAGAATGGGTTTAATTTAGTGGTTAAGGTGTGAAGCTGGAAGCTGGGAGTCTGTGAGTTTGAGTCCTACATTAGGTGCAAAACCAAGTGGGTGACCTTGGACCAGTCACTCTCTCCCAGCCCTTGAAAGAAAGCAATGGTAACCCCAAAACTGATATCAAAGAAAACTGCAGGAACATGCCTAGTTAGTTGCTAGGAGTCAAGAAAGAGGATCACCTGTCAAGGTAGCTGGTGGGATTCCTGGATGATCTTTCATTCACAGGGGAGGTCTGTCACACTGGAGAGTGAAACCAGGTTCGTGGAAACCCCACTAATAACTTCATGTCCTCTGGAGTCACCCAATAGTTGTTACGCAGAAACAAGAATGATACAGATGGGCTTCAGAGGGTCTGGAGCACATTCGTGTAACGGTGGAGGACAGTGAAATTAAATCTTAAATTGAAGCAGGATTTACCTCCCATTTGTTTTGAACTCAGTCAACACCTGTTCTCCATTCCTTCGCTTACTTGGTTTCAACTGAAGAATTTAGCTACTTTAGTACCCCTAGATCAGGGGTGGCAATGTGAGCCAATCCTTTGCTGTTTCCAGGGCAGCCGTGCGGGCCAGATCTAAGCAACCCATGGGCCAGATCTGGGCTCCGGGCCTTGAGTTTGATACTCCTGCTCTAAATATTCCTTTAAAAATGGGGAAGAATAATTCTCTTTATGGCTTTCAGTCTAGCAAATGATGTGTTGGCCATAAAACGAAATGGCCTTGAAGTTCACAGAAAAAATGCAAACAGAAAGCTATATTTAAGAAAACTTAGAAGCCATCTAAAGAGCCTACTGATCACGTGGTGGAGGCAAGCTTTTAAGGGGAAAGTCCTTGTGGGTTTCGCAGAAGCATCTATTTCATCCCCCTCAGAAATCTGAACCAGGAAACCAGACTGGGCCAGGTCTGATGGCAAAAGCCAACCCTTCTTTCTTGAAGGGCTTGGGAATCTTTCTAGAAGACCAGCCAACCTTATTTATTTCTAAAACTGCTGCAAAGTGGTGAGGAAACCCCTTGTTCTTTATCGGTTCTTGAGCGTCAGGCAAACTGAACGTTAGAATAATGTGCTGTCTTCCCCTTCGTTTCCCTAAAACTCTGAGGCCACCTGTAGCAATGCCCAGGACTTCTCTGCTCATGGACCAACAAGGAAGAACCGTCTTATCAAAGAGGAAGAGGGGATATTATACTATAACCTTGAGTTTCAAGCCAGAAACAAGCAGCAAAACCATCCCCAATTGCAGCAAAATATAGCTTTCTTGGTGCAGCCTCTTGGTGCAGACCCAGGCATGGACACGACCTGTGAAGAAATGATGGGGTACTTCAGTTTATGGCAGAAGAGAAAGCCCATCAAAAAGGAGGAAATCAAGAGGTAGGATTCAGCCGGTTCACACCGGTTCAACAGAACCGGTTGTTAAAATTCTGCCCAGTTCGGTAAACCAGCTAATCCCACCACTGGCCGGCCCTGCCCCTGCCTGTTTTTTGGCCGATTTTCAGACTGTTTTTCCAGAGTGTTTTTTGGCTGGTTTTTGGGTCAATTAAAACGTCCATAAATGGCCAAAAAAATTACCTGAAAAAGGTCCGAAAAACAGACAGAGGTGGAGCCAGCCAGTGCTGAGATTAGCCTGAACCAGTTGATTCCCACCTCTGTTGAGAACTGTCAGCCTCAAGTATCAAAATACCTTTCGGCCCAAGGCACCTTTACTTAGACTGTGATAAAGACAGGTTGCATGTTCCCACTCTTGTGATAGCAAGTACTTGAGGCCTACCTAAATGGAAGGGTTTCAGAATCATAATCTGAACATTTGTTAGCAATTGCTGCTGAAGGTATTTAACCTAAGGTTGTTTAAAAAAACAAAAAAGAAAGCAACAAGGTGAGTGGCTAGGAGGCGGGGCTGGGTGAGATGAGTGACATTGAGTTGGCCACACCCACTCAGTCACAGGACCACCGGGCCATGCCGACCCAGCCAGAGAATTGGTTGTTAAATAATTTAAATCGCACCACTGGGGAAATCTTTGGCCCCCGTCCTCTTCTACGAGTCTCAGGCGTATCTAGACCTGAGCCTGCTGGGAATGTTTTTGTTACAGCTTTCAAGAGCTTGTTCTGTATACTGGATAGATCTAATGCATCACACATGAGGCCTCGTTTAGGGGTCCTTTTCCACAATGAAATTTCTCTTGAATCGGCCAGCTCATAGGAGAGCCTTCATCCTTTGGAGGTTTCACATCTGACTCTTGTGTTGGAGGGAAGATCCAGGACTCTTTCCTTGTTGGGCTGTTTCTGTCCATATTTGTTTGAAGCCATGGGTCCCTTGGGGGCATTTTGCTTTGAATACTAGCTGAGTCTCTTAGCTCATAACCCCTCCGTACTATCACATTTTCTCAGAGCTATGAGTTTTCCTTTTTCTTAGGTCCACCTTGCCTTTTCTCCCCCTTCAATTTTTTCAATGATTTGAAGGTGCATGGAGGTAGATAGATAGATGATAAATAGATGATAAATAGATATAGATGAGAGGGAGGGAGGGAAATAAGAGAGAGAGAGAGAGATGGATGGGTAGATGATTAGATAGATAGATAGATAGATAGATAGATAGATAGATAGATAGATAGATAGATAGATAGATAGATAGATAGATAGATAGATGATAGATAGATAGATAGATAGATAGATAGATAGATAGATAGATAGACAGATGAGTTTGGATGGATGGATGGATGGATGGATGGATGGATGGATGGATGGAGATATGATTGACCTGAGATTTAGGAAGCCACATACCATGCGTAAGAGTTATGAATGCATGCATGCATGCATACATACATACATGTCCTTCAATTTCTCAGCTTTGCTACACTATGCTATTTCAATATTATGATGTTCATATAATATACTTAGATGCTTAATATTCTATTATTTTAAGTGCCTTGGAGTACCAAATAGAGATATGAAGGGGGAATGTAGACATTTTATCAGGGTTAATCACAGCTTCGAATATTAGTGTTACAATTATTAGGATTGTTTGACTTTTTCTTCAAAGTTAAATACAACTTTTTCATGCAGAAATGGGATTATAACCAGGTAGGCCCTTAGAGGCTGGTTAGAGAAGTCCAAAGAACAGGCCCCAAGTTCTGCAACGATATATTTTTAAAACTCTTATTAAAATGTTTTTTGAAGCTCAAATAGTTTGTCCACCTAGTGAGAAGAAAAGATTCATTGGGAAAGACCCCCAATGGTGGGCAAATGAAAGGCGACTGGAGAGGATGAGGAATTTGAATTGTGTCATTGATATCATGGAATGAACATGAATTTGGGCAAAATTTGAGAGGGCTTGGCATGCTATGGTCCATGGGGTCACGAAAAGTCAGGCATAATTCGGCAACTGAACAACAATATTTTTTATTTATTTGACAGGATTTGCATCACCTCCACTGGTTTCTCCTTCAACAACAAAGACAGGAAGTTTCTTTTAGCACAAAAAATGGAAGACAGGGCAGATGTTAATTCCTGTCCAGCACTTGGACAATAGGCCAATATTTCTACTAGTTAGGAAGAGCAAAAGGTCAAGGCTGTAAATTCTGAGTCAGTTTGGTGGCCTCCTGAAGGCACGGCCCCGAGTTTCTCAATGTTACCAGCTTGAAGATGGGTGACCTTCAACTTCCAGAATTCCCCAGCCAGTCAGGAATTCTGGGAGTCGAAGTCCATCCACGTTCCAAGGGTTTCAACCATGTCTATTCCCAAATACCCCCAACAGAACCAGAGCAAGCCCTCCATTCCAGGTGATTGAAAGGCTGGTCTTCTGAATGTGGCCTTTAGAGAGAGGTACTCATGGGGCTGTTCTGCTGGTTGCGTGAAGCTGGACCTCACTGTACATGACTTCGTACTCTCCCTTTGTCTTCAGATGATTCTCGGCCCTGGGTTCCAAAGGGATCAGTACGGATGACTTCCTGACCAAGGCATAGGTGAGCTTTGAATCCTAAAAAACCAGGAAAAGACAAGCTTGAAATTCAACCAGAATCCATCATAAAGGGAGACTTTCTAACTTTTGTTTTGGACGAGGTTTATAAATGGAAATTAGGTTGACTCTTCTACTATCCCACCCAGAATCCTAACCACCATTAAACAAGTGTAAATGGCAACCATACCAGGCCCAACCCAGATCCTCCACCTTCTGTCATCCAAAATGCTCTCCTGTAGAAACGGCTACCAGGACACCATCCACTTTGATTTATTTATGACCTGGGAGGAGGAATCCCTAATATTTAAGATGATCTCAAAGACAAAGGGGTGCGGTGGCTCAGTGACTAAGATGCTGAGCTTATCGATCAGAAAGGTTGGCAGTTCGGCGGTTCGAACTCCTAGTGCCGCGTAATGGAGTGAGCTCCCATTCCTTGTCCCAGCTTATGGCAACCTAGCAGTTTGAAAGCATGTAAAAATGCAAATAGAAAAACGGGGACCACTTTGGTGGAAAGGTAACAGCGTTCCATGTGCCTTTGCCATTTAGTCATGCTGGCCACATGACCACAGAGACATCCTCGGACAGCGCTGGATCTTTGGCTCTGGAACTGCCCAGGATTCCTCAAATCCTTCATAAATGGTCCTGCCCAGAAATGGAAGATTCCTTGAAGTGATTACCTGTAAATCCTCCCTCTCCAGATCCTCAGATCCGAGATCATTCGATCGAGCTTCCTCCTTCCCTTCTTTAGGATCAGATCTTCGCTGGCATCCTGGTGCTTCCAGATCCATGAAACAAGGAAGACGGGAATAAACAAACATGAGTTGCTCCTCCTATCATTTATTCCATCATACTACAAACAAAGTAAAGATAGATGCACCTTGAAGTTCAGCTTCCTAACAATGAAAACAATTAACCAGTGGAACAGCTCGCCACCAGAAGTTGTGGGTGCTTCATCACTGGAGGTTTTTAAGAAGAAATTGGACAGTCACTTGTCTGAAATAGTATAGGATCTCCTGCTTGAGCAAGGGGTTGGACGAGAAGACCTCCAAGGTCTGTTAGGAATGATAGTCACCTAACAGTTGGGTTGGCAATATATAAACCAGGATAGTCATTTAATACTGTTGTATCTTTAAGAGAAGGCTGTAATTGTGATTGGCTGATTGGTTCCTCCAACAGCCCTAAGTTGGAGCCAGAAACCTGGTTTGTTCTTTTTGCATTTCCTTTTCACTATGTTTCCCTGAGTGCACTCATTCTCCTAACGGGGAACACCTCAACAAGGTCCCTTCCTATTCTGATATTAATATTAAGAAGGGCCACCATGCCTATCAGAGTAGCCTCCGCTGTCTTGAAGCAGGACCTCTTGGAGGTTTACTTCATCCACTTCTGCCACAAAGGTTCTTCTCTAGCCACATGATTTGAGATTGAGGGTTTGCATCAGGGACTGCCAAACCTACCATTCCTTTTCCTGCTCCAGCAGAAGACCAGGGGGGCTGCCAGGAAGGGAACGAGGAGAACCAGCGGTGCATAGCCCACTGGTAGGGCAAATGAGGCTGGTACACCTACAAAGCAAAAGGGGGAGAAGTATCATTCTGTGAGGTTTCTTTAAATCTCGCTAAATCAAGTTTTGCAAAGTGTTTCCTTCTGCATTTAGGCTGCAGATGATTCCACCTCTGGAAAAAGGCCCACCTGTGATATCCACTGTCTGGCTCCAGGGAGACATGATCCAGTGCCCCGTCATGTTTTCCTCATATCTGCAAGCAAATCGCCGGCTTTTGTTGTCTTTGGCGTACAGGAAAGCTACTGACGTATTTAGAGTGAGAACCCCAGAATCTCGGCTGCTCCTCGGAGGCTCTTCATCGCTGGAGGTCATCTCCACACCATCCAGGGAGAAATGGAACCTTTTGGGATTATTATTGCCCTCTCTGGACAAACACAGGATGGACAGGATCCCCAGGGATCCCGAAGAAGGGTGCAGCTTCAGCACTGGGGGAGGCAGAGGATCTGGAGAAGAGAACAAACGGGAATTAGCTTGGAGGTGCTTTGGCTCCACTGTCAATCCATCAGAAGAGAGTTGGAAGGGACCTTGGAGGTCTTCTAGTCCGACCCCCTGCTCAAGTAGGAGAACCTATAGGTGGCTATCCAGTCTCTTCTTTAAAACCTCCAATGATGAAGTACCCACAACTTCTGGTGGCAAGTTGTCCCAGTGGTTAATTGTCCTTGTTGTTAGGAAGTTTCTCCTTAATTCCAGGTTGCTTCGCTGCTTGACTAGTGTCTATCCGTGGCTTCTTTGTCCTGCCTTCAGGTGCTTTGCAGAATAGGTGGACCCTCTCTGCTTTTGGTCAGCCTCTCAAATACTGGAAGACTGCTATCATGTCCCCCCTAATCCTTATTTCCACTAGACTGGCCAGACCCAATTCCTGCAACCCTTCTCCGTTTGTTTTTGTCTCCAGACCTTTAATCAGGGGTGGGATTCTACCAGTTCGCACCTATTTGCTAGAACCGGTTGTTAACATTCTAAACAGTTCGGAGAATTGGTTGTTAGAAGAAATTACGGGCCTAATCCTGTAAGGGAGGCAGGAAGGAAACATTCTGGTGTTGCTTACAGAAACTGCCTCTCCGTTAACCCTTATTACATTCTTGGCAGGACTAGACTTCCTGTCTCAGAAACTTCTCTGGAGTTTTTTTCCCCTCCTTTGCTGGTATTTTGATGTGTTGAGTGACCGTTCAAAGTTACAGTGGCACTGAAAAAAGTGACTTACGACCCTTTTTCACACTTACGACTGTTGCAGCATCCCCACAGTCATGAGAGGCCAGGCGAGGAGATGCGTGTCTTGATGTAAGTGATATTGAGTTGGCCACACCCAGCCAATAACATGACCACTAACCCATGTTCACCCAGTCACATGACCACCAAGCCACGCCTACCACCTAAGCCACGCCCACAGAATCAGTTGTTAAAAAATTTGAATGCCACCCCTGCCTTTAATCCTCTTAGTTGCTCTTCTCTGCACTTTTTACAAAGTCTCAACATCTTTTTTTTGTAATGTGGTGACCAAAACGGAATGCTGTATTCCAGGTGTGGCCTTACTAAGGCTTTATAAAGCATTACTGATACTTCACGTGATCTTGATTCTATGCCTTTGTTTATAAAACCAAGGATTGCATTCGCTTTTTTGGCTGGCTCATGTTTAAATATTCGTCCACTAGGACTCCAAGGTCCATCTCACAGTTCCTGTTTTTGAGCCTGGTCTTATCTAATTTTTACTTATATCTTTGATTTTTCCTGCCTAAGTGTAAATCCTTGCTTCAGGCTGGTGACTTTTTTTGTGATTACCTCAGAAAAAAAACTTTCCTATGCAAGCTCTAAATAAATCAAGCCCCAGTTATAGAAATCCACGTTTTCAAAATGAAGAGAGAAAAAATGCACACCTCTCACCACAATTGGGACCAGACGACTCCACTCGGAAAAGATGTTTCTCTCAGATTTCTGTTCTAGGTACCGGCATTTATATGATCCAGAATCCTCCCTCGTGGCTGTGAGGACCATGGAGCTGTTACCTTCATGCCAACCCAAATCCTTTTTAGAGGGCTCCTCCTTGTTTTCCCTTAGGTGGAAAAACTGGTAGCGTCTCCGGCCTCGAAGGGTGGTGTTGGGAAGTGAGCACCAGAGGACAACGCTCTCCCCAACCAGATACAGGGATCCTGGAGGATCTGGAGAAAGGCTGGGAGCTGGTGGGGGTTCTAGATAGACCCAGAGAGGGGGGGAAAGGTGATTATTACAGACATTATACAGAGGGTGGTGAGCACAGCACAAAACATTGTGGGCTCTTCCCTGATACCACTAGATGACCTCGTTAGGGCTCGCTGCCTTAGAAGAGTGAGGAAAATCCTCAGGGACGAATCACAGCCTGGTCAGCACTTCTTCACTCTCCTACCGTCAGTTAGGAGATAGAGAAGCATAGCCGGCCGCATCAACAGTCTGAAGAACAGTTTCTACCTGTGGGCTGTCAGACTCCTGAATGGAAAATAACTTCATGTCAACATAGAATGATAGACTTGCAGGGCCGGCGCGTTGTGCAATAAGTTCACATGCTGTAATAAGATTGTGTGTTCGTTAGTAGGATTCACTGGGTTAGGGACTTCTGTCCTCACTGTGAGTTGTGTTGGGGTGTGTGTGCACAAAGGGAGGCTCAGCCAATCTCATTATACACGTGTTGTACTCTGACAATAAAGGTAATTATAATCAAATGTCCTTCAGGCAGTCCCAGGATTGTCTTGACTGGCACCCACCAACTCATCTAATTGCTCTAGAGTTCTCGGTTGGCCTTTCCTTCACACAGAAAGGGGTTGTTGGCAGGTTCTCTTTCCTCAGAAAATACTCCTTGGAATCGGGAGGTTGAGGAAACCTAAGCTGGGCAGCTTCACCGCCTTGAATAGCGGGGCAGAAATATCCCTGAAATCTCGCCAATATACTTTCACTCCCCAGCGATAGTCTAAGGAGGCAGAATCTTGGTAAAGAAGCACCAAAATCTCCCTGCCAAACATAGTGCAAGTCTGCAAAACAGGTAGTGCTCGACTTATAACAGTTCATTTAGTGACCCTTCAAAGTTACAACAGCACTGAAAAAAGTGACTCACAGTTACAACCTTGGCAGCGTCCCCATGATCAAAATTCAGGTACTTGGCAACTGACTCGTTGTCAGGGTTCCGACCGATGCCCTTTGTATTTATACTGGTATTTATGAGGGTTGCCGCATGCCAGAGAGCTGTGATCCCCTTTTGCGACCTTCTGACAAGCGAAATCAGTGGGGAAGCCAGATTGACTTAACCACCGGGTAACTAACTTATCAGTTGCAGCGATTCACTTAACAACTGGGGCAAGAAATGTCGTAAAAAGGGGCGAAACTCACTTAACAAATGCTCACTGAACAACAGAAATTTGGGGCTCAGTTGTGGTTGTAAGTCGAGGACCATCTGTATCACATTTCCTTCAGCTTTCTGGCATAAAACAAATTGGTCTGATTGAACATCTTTTACAGTCCCTTTTTTATTTCATGAACAATTATTATTATTATTATTATTATTATTATTATTATTATTATTATTATTTTAATTTAATGAGCACAAGTATTGAGTCTCCTTGAAACAATTCATGTTGTGGGAATCCCTTAGGCATCTTTCTAACAATGTGAACAGTATTTCTTAACCTTGACAAACAACATTTGTGGACCTTAAATCACAAAATCCCTATTCTGGGAATTGAAGTTGACACAGCTTAAAGTCGTCAAGGTGGAGAAACCCTGATATAAACGCTTTTTAAAGTAGAAGAAAGTTCCTTACCAATGACAGTGAATTCACCCCATTTACTACTTTGAGACAGAGTTCTTCTGCCTTCCCTGTTTTTCCCCATGTAAGAACAAGAAAAATATGCTTTGGGAGCCATTCGCAATGCAGAAATCAGCAGAGTATTTCCGATCTGTTCTGGATATTTCTTCCTTTCATTCTTTTCATTCACGTGTTCGAAGACGTAATTCTCTCCCTTCTGTCCTTTTGGTGGGGAACATTTTAATTCGACCTGTTCTCCTTTTACGAGAATTTGGTGAGAAGGTGACCAGGACAGGGTGGGAGCTGCTGGGCGATAATTCCAAGTAGAGCTTTGAAAATCTGAGAAACAAAGGAAATTTGAAAAGAATCCCATAAAAATCCATGCAAGCTTATACCCAAAATTGTGTTGCAAGAATCCAAGAGAAACCCACAGGCTAGAAGTTGACAGAAACAACCAAATTATCTCTTCATCATCATCTTCATTTAACAACCCCATAATCCCTTGCGGGGTGGAGTCTGGGCAACTGAATGGAGCCTAGCAGAGTGTTTCCTGGCCGGATGCCCTTCCTGTCACCAATGTGGAGGCCACCAGAACACTAACCAAATTATCTCTTCTCAAATCAAAATCTTTACAGGTAGTCTTTGACTAATGGCCAGTTGTTTAATAAATGTTCAAGGTTATGACAGTCCTCAAAAAAGCAACTTACATCCCAGATTCAAAGTCCCGACAGCCAGGGGTGCGATTCTACCAGTTCGTATCTATTCTCTAGAACCAGTTGTTAACATTCTAAGCAGTTCGGAGAACCGGTTGTTAGAAGAAATTACTGGCCTAATCCTGTAAGGAAGGCAGGAGGGAAACATTCTGGTGTTGCTTACAGAAACTGCCTCTCCGTTAACCCTTATTACATTCTTGGCAGGACTAGACTTCCTGTCTCAGGAATGTCTCTGGAGGTTTTTTTTCCCCCTCCTTTGCTGGTACTTTGTGTGGAGCGATCATTCAAAGTTTCAATGGCACTGAAAAAAGTGACTTATGACCATTTTTCCCACTTACGACTGTTGCAACATCCCCACAGTCATGAGAGGCCAGGCGAGGAGATGTGTGCCTCGATGTGAGTGATATTGAGTTGGCCACACCCAGCCAATAACATGACCACCAAGCCATATCCACCCAGCCACATGACCACCAAGCCATGCCCACCACCTAAGCCACGCCCACAGAACCGGTTGTTAAAAAAATTGAATCCCACCCCTGCCGACAGCACACTCCATTATGGTCATGTGGGATTCATCATCTAGTTTTGAAATAAACAATCACCAACCAAAACTTCCAAGAGAAAGCAATGGTGATTTTATTTACTACTTTGAGAAGAGGGTGCCCCCCCACACACATGCAGGTATAATGGGTACACCTTAAATCATCAATATGATTGGCTTATATTCTCTATTAGCTGGATACCCTTGCTTCATTAAGAAACTATGTAGTTGGCCTTAGTTTTTGGGGAGGAAAATAAGGAGGAAAAAATTCTGCCTCTGCCTACCAGCATCCATCGGTATTCATCTGGCTAGCGTCCTGTCAGTGTGTGAGAGTTGAGATCTGTTTGGAAACTGAAACAGTATCTGCTGTGTGAGCAAGAAGGAGACAGCAAGGAGCCTGGGCGTGGTTTAGCTCAACTGTTCTGTCCTAAAGCTGCTTGGTGCTGTGAAAGTAAAACTGAAACTGGAACTCCTCTCCTCTGCTTGTGCTTTGCATTTGGAAGAGATTTCTTTTCAGGTGGGGAGGGGGAGTAGAACTCCTTAGCATCAGAGCATGTTAATAATAATAATAATAATAATAATAATAATAATAATAATAATAATAACAACAACAATCATCATCATCATCATCATACATTATCTCCACCCTCGATTACATCTCCCAGTACTTTAATTCTATCGCCCGCTGCCCTTATTTACAAATTATGGTTTTATGGTCTTAGTTCCTAAGGGTTGTCTCTAGAGTAATTATACCAGTAAATTCTGGCTTAAGACCAATTTCTAGCATAGCAGAGGCCTCGAGTCCTAGTTCCTACATACAATTCTCAACCTTTAGCCTAGCTCATGAGATTTGTTTGTTTTTTTTGTTTAGGAGATTTATATTGTCGACTCAAGGAGGCTTACAAAAATATAAAAACATGTAAAAAAAATAATAAAACTAATAAAAGAATCATATCCCCCCACGAGCCATTTAATGGGCTCCATCCCGCTCTGCATTCCCCAGGCCCGCTGGCAGTGCCAGGTCTTCAGTGCCTTCTAGAAGAGTGTTCGAATAGGGGCCATTCTAATCTCTGGGGGAATGATGTTCCAGAGGGAGCCACCATGGAGAAGGCCCTTCTTCTGGGTGCCACCAGGTGTATCTCCCTCGGGGACGGGACCCGCAGCATTCCCTGCATCTGATGGGGCAGATAGATGTAACTGGCAAGAGATGTTCCTCAAATCACCTGGTCCCAAGCCATGAAGGGCTTTAAAAGTGACAACCAGCACCTTGAATTGCACCTGGAAGCAAACCAGCAACCAATGCAGGAGAGGCGAAACATGTGCACACCCCGAGGTCTGCGCAAAACCACGCAGGCCACTGCATTTTGCACCAACAGGAGCTTCCAGATGCTCTTCAAGGGCGGCACCATGTAGAGCGCATTGCAATAGTCAAGACAGAAAGTGACATGGGCATGAGTGACCGTGAGTAGGGATTTTCGGTCCAGGAAAGGGTGTAACTGGCACACAACCCGCAGTTGCGCAAAGGCCCTCCTGGCCACAATCGCCACCAGAAGTCGCGAGTTCAGGAGAACCCCCAGATTACGCACAGGGTCTGTTTGGGGCAGCGCCACCACATCCAAGACCAAAGGTGGCAATTCTTTTTTTATTTTTTTATTTTTTATTTTAATTATGAGAACACAACACAGTACATCCAACTTAGCCTTGTTATACATATATACATTTTACTTCATCATTTATAATCTCCTTATTTGATATATTATTTACTAAGTAATGTAATCATAACTACTAATGTTTTGACCTTGTCTTCTCCTATATAACTATTGATAAAATTTATTCCATGTTTTATAGTATTTAGATTCTCCTTTAAGTCTTTTAATTCTAAAGTTAACCTATCCTAGATGCCCATGCCATAATTTTTCTTATTATCTGTTTCTGGAGGTATGATTTCATTTTTCCAGTATTGTGCATATATTTTTCTAGCCATCATCAATACATGTACTATTAGATACCTTATTCCCTTCTTATATTTTTCTGATATTATTCCTAGGAGAAAAAAATTCAGGTTTAAATGGAATACATTTTCCCACCATTTGTTCCCTCCGTGTTTGAATCAGTCTCCAATATATATTTTTTTGCAGCATTGCAAGTCCACCACGTGTGAAAAAATGTGAAAAAATGTGCCTGATACATCTTTGCACTTCCAACAATTTGGAGATATATTTTTAAACATTTTGGAAAGTCTTGCTGGCAGAAGATGCCACCTGTAAAGCATCTTATAAAGATGTTAAGGTGGCAATTCTCCCTGGGCCAAAAAAACCTCAGAGCTACTCGGTCTTACCAAGTGTTTAGTTTCAACCCGTTGCTCCCCATCCAACCCCTGATAGATGAGAAACGTATACAAGGTATTTTCTCCACAGGCTAGCATATCTTCTCACAATTCTGTAAAAACAATAGGCCCTGTTTCCCATAGTCATTAAATCAAAGGTTCTGTGTGTGTATCTGACATCTAGAGAATTATTCTCTACATTTTTACCGTCTACGATGACCAATTCTTTAACAAAGATCCAGACAAGTCAATGCATACCTATTGAGAGCTAAAGATGGACCCAATATGTCTTTCTGCATGTATCCCAGGACTACAATTCCCATCATCCCATATTGGACAGGGCTCATGATAGCTGGGATTCCGTAACATCTATTGGATCTCAAGGAGACCTCGATCATATTGCTGACAAACAGGAACCCTCTACCTAAATTCAGGATAAGAGAGGTCCTTCTGTCTGCAGATTCACGTCTCTGGCCTGGCCTGTTAATTTTTTTTTATTAAAGGGTTTTTGAATCCTTGATGTATTTGTTCAATAGAGCTATTTTTACAATCGTTCTACGTTCACACTTGTTACATGAAGCTAAAGAGTTCTGACCACAAACGTTGAAGACACAGGAAACACTAGCGTAAGTTGGCGATTGTGGCTTTGTCGCTGCAAAGGAAGAACTTTGCAGTGTGGGCCCATTACTGGAACAAAGAAAGTGAACATCGTTCAATGTTCTGAATCTATGGTCAAGAATTTTCAGGCGAAGATCCAGAAGCAAAATGTTCATTTGTATAACATGTTGACTTAGAAAAAAACCAAATGCATAGATACAGAATAGGTGGCTCAAAAGCAGTAACTGTGAGATGGATCTAGGTGCCTTGGTGGATAGCCACTTAAGTATGAGCCAACAGCATTCTGTAGCTGCCAAAAAGTCCAATGCAGTTCTAGGTTGCATCAACAGAAAGGTAGTTTCAAGATCACCAGAAGTAATTGTATCGCTTTATACGGCCCTGGTGAGGCCACACCTGAATTCTGCACTATCTGGCTATCCTGAGAGGAGAGGAGAGGAGAGGAGAGGAGAGAAGAGAAGAGAAGAGAAGAGAAGAGAACCTGTAGTTTGCTGGGGAAATTGTGTGTCTAACATTCCTTCCTCCACTCACCCGACCTTACAAAACTGATGTCAATCAGAATAGAGCTGAAAGGGACCTTGGAGGTCTTCTAGTCCAACCCCCTGGTTAGGTAGGACACCGTATACCATTTCAGACAAATGATTGTCCAATCTCTTCCAACGTTGAAGCATTCACAACTTCTGGAGTTAATTTGTTCCACTGATTAACTATTCTGTCGGGAAATTTTTTCTTAGTTCTAGGTTTCTTCTCTCCTAGATTGGTTTCTTGATTAGCTTCTTGTCCTGCCTTCAGGTGCTTTGGAGAATAGCTGGACTCCCTCTTCTTTGGGGCAGCCCCTGAGATACTAGGACACTGCTTCATGTCACCCCCAGTCCTTCTTTTCATTAAACCAGACATACCCAATACAAGCAACCGTTCTTCATATGTTTCAGCCTCCAGTCCCCTAATCATCTTTCTTGCTCTTCTCTGCGCCCTTTCGAGAGTCTCAACATCCTGTTTACATCATGGCGACCGAACGCCACATTTGGTCGCCTTAAAAAGTGGTATTAACACTTAACGTGATCTTGATTCTATCCCTCTGTTAATGCAGCCTAGAATACTGAATCCAGTTTTGGTCACTATGATACAAAAAAGATGTTGAGACTCTAAAAAGAGTGCAGAGAAGAGCAACGAAGATAATTAGGGGAATGGAGGCTAAACCGTAAAATAAACAATTGAAGAGATTAAGTTTAAAATAAACAATTGAAGAGATTAAGTCTAAAAAAAATAAGGACTAGGGGAGATATGATAGCATCTTCCAATATTTGAAGGGCTGTCACGGGGAAGAAAATTTAAAATTTCTAAAATTTCAGGAAAGGAAGTGAGAAGAAAAGAGAGCCTTTGGGGGGGGGGAAAAAGCATTTCTAAGAAGTTAAATCTCATTATTAAGAAATTTTCTCTTTGAGCCTTTTCACGTCTTTGCCACTTAAAACGAGCAAAACTATCTGAGTCCAGGACAGGGATTTTACAGAAAAAAAACAGAGGATTACTTTTCACAACTGAGAAAAGGGACAAATGGGAAGAGTTTCCCGTTCATGCCCCTTTGATCTCTCCTTTATCTATTCTTCTGATATTAACCACACACTCCATAAAGGCGAGGATTTCTTCCCTTGGGAGAAAAATCTTCACTTCCAGATCCTTCCTCCCATTTTTATCTCAGAAAAACGGAAAATGGAGAAGCGAAAAAATAATAATGAAGTTTACCTTGAGCAGTGGATTCACAGGGGACGATCCGGAGAGAAATTGGAATAATCAAGGAAAGAACCACAAAGTTGGTGAGAGGAACGAGAGAAGCCCAAGAGAAGAGAGACACCTTCAACCCATCCTCCCAGGGGTGGCTTCCATGCTCCACCCGATGGTCCATTGTGCACAGCTGGGATCTTCTCAGTGTTTACCACCACACTGCTGTCTGAGCCAGGGATGAAAACCTGGGCCTGTAACCACCGTCTCCTCGGCAATCGGCAGGAAAGGAAACATGTCATTGACACCTTTCTACCAGCCTCCTCTTCACGGAGCAGGCCCAGCGAGGCCAACCCAGCTCACTGCTCTCCTTTGAAGCCTTCTTGACCACAGCAAGCCTTTTTCGGCTATCTCACAAGAGCATCTCGCCGCCCCCAGTCCTAGGTGTGCCATTGTCAAGTCTTCTGTGCAACCACGGAGCCTAAGAAGAGCCAGAGACAATACCATTGGTCCAGATTTGACAAAAAAAGACACCGCTTCTTTTATTCTCAGCTTCAAAGATTCTCATCAGCTCAAAAAGAAAGCAACCCTCCACCTCCAAACCAGAAGCTCCTACAACCTTCAACTCCCAGTTCCACCAATCAATGGTGATTGGTTGATGGTGTTAGCCGTTCAGTCGAGTCTGATTCTTGCAGATTCCCAGATTTCTCCACATCTGGGCTTTTTCAATGCTCTGTATGGTGTTAGAGTGGGTTTTGGTGGCCTGGTTTCCTTTTTACGCTAACGCTTCCAAACATAATTGCTTTCTCCTGTGACCCAAAGGTGCTTTTTTTTTTTCAACAGGCAACTGGATTTTCTAGTTTTTCTTTTGAAGACGTTTCACTTCTCATCCAAGAAGCTTCTTCAACTCTGATTGGATGGTGGGAGACGGAAGGATTCACACTCCTTGCAGATAGCTGGTCATTTGCATCCTTTTAGAGGGCCATTGAGGCCACCTGGAGGTTTATCTGTGTCCTCAGGTTCACATTAAGATCATATTAAAAGCAACTGCGTTCTCTTCGCTGATGATGTAAAACTATTCAACACCACAGACAATACTACCACCCTCCAAAAAGACCTTGACTATGTATCAGAATGGTCAACCAAATGGCAACTTCAAATCTCAACAAATAAATGCTCTGTCTTACATATTGGCAGAAAAAATCAGAAAATAAAATACAAGCTAAATAGTCAAGACCTTGTTGAGGATCCAAACTTTGTCAAGGACCTTGGAGTTCTCATCTCAAATGATCTAAGTGCTGGAGCCCACTGTAACTACATAGCCAAAAAAGCATTAAGAGTTGTTAACCTAATCTTACGTAGCTTCTTCTCTGGTAATATCACACTACTAACTAGAGCATACAAAACATTTGCTAGACCAATACACGAATACAGCTCATCAGTCTGGAACCCACATTACGTATCTGATATTAACACAGTTGAGAAAGTCCAGAAATATTTCACAAGAAGAGTTCTCCACTCCTTTACTCGTTGCAGAATACCTTATGCCACCAGACTCGAAATTCTAGACCTAGAAAATCTAGAACTACGCCCCCTTTGGTCCAATCTAAGTATAGTATATAAAATCATACATTGCAATGACTTACCTGTCAATGAATACTTCAGCTTCAACCATAACAACACAAGAGCACACAACAGATACAAACTCAAGGTTAATCGCACCAAACTTGATTGCAGGAAATACGACTTCAGCAACAGAGTGGTCAATGTCTGGAATATTCTACCTGACTCTGTGGTTTCTTCCCCAAACCCCAAAAACTTTAACCTTAGACTGTCTACTATTGACCTCACCCCCTTCCTAAGAGGCCTGTAGGGAGCGTTCATAAGCGCACCAACGCGCCTACTGTCCCTGTCCTGTTGTTTTTATTTTTCTTATAAGTATCTATCTCATATATTCAAAACTATATTTATTCTTATACCTGTATCTTGTAAGCGATTGACAAATCAAATAAATACTAAAAAAAAAAAATACTAAATGCTAAAAAAAAATGCCTGAGTGGTACAAATGGTTCCTGTAGTCTGCAATCCCTCTGGAAATCCATTCATACTCCCACACCATTCGAAAGGTGGACTAGAAGACCTCCAAGGTCCCTTCCAACTCTGTTATTCTGTTAACCATAAGGGAAAACAATAGAAGAGACTAACCTACACTTGATTGCCTGGCTGATATCCACCCAGCATCTTCAAAATTAGCCACCAGGATCCTTGGTGCTGTTCATCATGTTGACCATTAGCAAATTGGTCATTCTTTAATCTGGAAATGTCTAAGCAGGTGGAAGAAGAAGAAGAAGAAGAAGAAGAAGAAGAAGGAGAAGGAGAAGGAGAAGGAGAAGGAGAAGGAAGGAGGAGGAGGAGGAGGAGGAGGAGGAGGAGGAGGAGGAGGAGGAGGAGGAGGAGGAGGAGGAGGAGGAGGAGAAGAAGAAGAAGAAGAAGAAGAAGAAGAAGAAGAAGAAGAAGAAG